CCCCAAAACCCCAAAACCCCAAAACCCCTAAAGGTAAGGATCTCGAGATTTTAAATAAATTGTTAAAGGCTAGAAATTAAAAACCAACAAGATTTAAATAATAGAAAATAGCAAAACTTGATGTATTATTTAACGAATATTTAATTAATTCAAATTATAAATTAATTATTCAAATGAAAGTTTCTTACTCTGTGATTCTCCTAGTAATAGGAATCTCTATTGTCACAGCATCATAGAGCATTTTGCAAAAGTTAATCAAAACTTTACCTTAATCTCAACAAGTGATAAAATCATGCACAACAGCTATTGACCGATCAAAAGCTGCTCTTCCAAATTACAAAAATATAGTTACTACTTATGCAAACATTTGGAATGATGCCACTTTCCCTGCTGATAGATCATCAATCTAATGGTCTGGTAAATACACATACTATGCTCTTGATAGCTTCATTGACAGTAAATGGAAGAGACTAAACAATCTATGTCTTAATTGCACACTATTTGGCTCAGCAGATTACTTAAGCGATATTGCCCAAGGTGCACTCGGAGACTGTTATTTCTTATCAACAGCCACTGCTTTTGCTGAGTTAAACTCAAGATTTGAAAAAATATTTGTAAATCCTCAAAAAAACTTGGCTGGTCTCTATGCTTTTAATGTGTTTATCAGAGGTATTCCTTAGATTGTGATAGTAGATGACTCTATCCCAGTTGGAGAGAACGGAAAGGATCCAGTTTTTGCTGGAATAGGAAACGATAATTCTATATGGGGGCCGCTTCTTGAAAAAGCATGGGCCAAGACTAATGCAAACTATGAACGTATTGAGGGTGGTAATACAAATGAGGCCCTTTGTTTTTTATAAAACATTCCTGCCACTCAAATGCTATTAGAATAGTTTAACAAAGCTACTCTGTGGACCAAAATTAGTGTAGCAGATAGTAAAAACTGGATAATAACCCTCAATACTCCATAATCAAGAAATCAAAATTAAGATTTATGTAAATTTAACCTTGCATGCGCTCATTCGTATTCATTACTCTCAGTAAAAACAGTTTATAATAAGGATAGAAGTTAGTAAGTCAACTTGTTCAAGATTAGGAATCCGTGGAGAAAAGATAAAGAATTTTAAGGATCTTACAAGGATGGCTCATCTCTTTGGCTCACTGAAGGAGCAGACGGTAAAAACTATGCTGAATAAGCTGGCTTAGTTATTGCTGATGATGGAGTTTTCTATATGACAATGGATGAAGTTTTGATCACTTTTGTATTATTAGAGATCGGTGAATACTAAGAAAACTTTATTACATCTTGGTATGATAAGAGAAACGATTTAACTTCAAATGCTAATTCCCCTTCTTTGTATAAATTCACCCTTACAGAAGCAACTCCTATGTATATTAGAGCGATTGCTTATCCATCAAGAATGTATCCAATTTCTTGTAAATCTGGCCAAGCGTATTTAAGACTTGCACTAGAGGATGCTTCTGGGAAAAGAATCTCATAAATTTATACCAATGAAGATTCCCTTTAATTTATTAGCTTAGTTGATACCCCTCTTGCTGCTGGTAATTATACTTTGAAATTCTACCCTGAGTGGACTACTAATCACGTAAAAGATTATGGAATTATCATCAATGCTCCTAAGAATATTGTTATAACTGATAGTTTGAATAGAACAAGCAGACTTACTGCTCATGATATAAGTAGCAAATAATTGTAGTCTAAAGTAAGGGCTACCGTTTAACAAGGTAACAATGAAACCAAAAGTACTAATTAAACAAAAACAATACTGCCAGATATTTCTAAAAACGAATCTGCTTATGAATTGACAGGAAATCTTGATTAAGATATCGTCAAAATCAGAAACTCTATATCTCTTAACATTTCAAACGAGGAAAATGGTCTCTACTTATAGGGAAAGTAATCATCATTCTCTGCTGGTAACGATTAATGTACAGTCAAGAATAACAATGCTACAGGAGAAGATGAAATCTCATGTGGCTGCATACTAGGGCCAGATACCTATCCAAAAGAATGCCTACTCGTTCTTCTCACCGAAGTTGGAGAAGGATATGAAAGCTCTATTTAATTAAGCTCCTCAGATTTATGAATTATAATATAGAATTAAAATTGACTTAGAAATAATTGATTTTTAGATTATTAAGAATTTTTAGCATAAAGATTAAATAATAGTTTATAGATTATTTCATTGATTAATTTTAAATACATTTGCAGTTGTTAAATTATATTTCAAAAAGCTATTTAAATAAAGCATTTGTGCATCTTGGGGTTTTGGGGTTTTGGGG